TTTTTTCAGTAAAATGTTTTGTAATTGATTCTATGTGTGTATGTATATACATGCACAGGTATAAGGATGTTCTCTCTTTATATGGTAGTAAAAGAATATAAATAACCCAATGTTCACCTTAAAATCCTACTTGGATAAATTATGACGCAGTATTGCCATACATAAGAATACTATGTACTATTATACCATACATAGGAGTCCTGGGTAGCCATTGAAGAAAGAGGTATACTGTGTCAAAACATACCAATAACTGACGATGCCCAAGATGTATTAAATGAAAAAATAAAGTAGCATAACAGTATGTCTCGAGTTAGAAAATAGAGTAACTTCAGTATACATTTGCACATACAGAGTTATATGTGTATAGATAGTTTTTATTTAAGATGCTTGGTGAGTTGGCTAGGACTGACACAAGTCTCTTATGTAAAAGACTTACTTTTCTCTTTATACCCTTATGTAATTTTTGAATGTGTGTGTTTTCTTTTTTTGTTTGTTTGTTTTTTGGGGTTTTTTTAGATAGAGTCTCACTCTGTTGCCCAGGCTAGAGTGCCGTGGCATCAGCCTAGCTCACAGCAGCCTCATACTCCTAAGCTCAAGCAGTCCTCCTGCCGCAGCCTCCTAACTAGCTGGGCCTATAAGCATCTGTGGCCTATAAGCCACAATGCCCAGCCAATTTTTCTATTTTTAGTAGAGACAGGGTCTTATTCTTGCTCAGGCTGGATCCCAGTTCTTAAGCTCAAGAGATCTTCTTGCCTCAGCCTCCCAGAGTGCTAGGATTATAGGTGTCAGCTACTGTGCCCAGGCCTTGATTTTTTTTTCATAAGTATATATTATTTTTGCCATATAACCCACGCAAGCTAAGGTCTGTAAGAGATTCGGAGGGTAGGGTAGCCCTCTCTGCTGTACAGAGTTGTGTGCTTCTTATGTAGACCAGTGTCTGGCTCTTCAGTGTCCCTCTCATCATTCTCAGGGGAGTGAGTCCTCTCATAGGTAAGATGTAGTCAGGGGCAGAGCCCTCATGGCACCCCTACTTCCAAGTTCAGTGTTTCTGCAAAGCCCCTTTCAAAGGGCAGAACCTTGGGGGGAGAATGGATAGAAGATACTGTCATCACTCCAGGATGTTCCTGAGTTTCTCTCACTCCAAAATGTTTTGTTTCCCCACGACCAGGACTATATAAGGGAGGGTGTTCATTACAAGTCAGGATGGTGCCGTGGTTAAGAAGGCAGATTCTGGAGCCATGTCTGTGGATTCAGATGGAATGCTATCATGGTCAAATTACATAGTCTTTCTATTTACTTACTTAATCTCAGTTTCCTTACCTGTAAAATGGGCATAATAACACCCATCTTATAGGTTTTTTGTGGGAATTGAGTCATTACTATGAATAAAAGGTTCGAGTAGTACTTGCAAATATGGGAGCAAAACCAGTCTTTGTCCACCCCCTGCCAGTGTGAAATTCCAGAGATGGCCGCACTGACCTCTTCATACCCTTTGTCCTGGTGTTCAGCCCCAAGTCCAGTATCTCCCACCGCCTCCCTGCCTCAGGAGGCCCGCTC